TAAATCCTGAAAGACAGAAGTATGCAAACTTCCCTTCCAGCAGAAAAAAACAATTCCAGTTTCAATAGACACTGCCCAAAATGTTACATGTGTGGGCATTATGTTAATTTTCATGTCAATTCTGTGTGGGACATGATATACACCCTTGTTTATACACACCCACAAAGCACTTGCACTATCATCACCATTATCAGCACATCTGTACAATGAAGCAGATGACTGCATTTCGTCTGCTAGAAATTATTCATCTATTTTTAACTGACCATCACACAATAGAAACTCCTCTCTGACCGGATAGCAACCAATGGCAACCTTTTCTGTGAGCAATAATAATTATTCTAACTCTAATTCTAATTGTCACTTTTCCTGCCTGCCTGGTTTCAGGTTCCTTGCCTCCAGAAGTTCATGTCACGCAACTCCTACTGATGTACTTTATGCCACAAGAAGACAGTAGTTGCAGAAAGGAGGAAAAGAGGGAGGGGGGGAGGGAAAAAAACCCTTCGACTCTAGGGGGATTCCACCAGATAATAGCTCAGCCCCTCCAGAATAAAGCATTAAACCCTTTAAAGCACCGCCTGAGGGACCAGGGGGAAGATTTCCAACACGCAAAGCAGATATGTCTAATAACTCCAGGCCTACATTATTTTTAACGATCAGGAGTTGCTTTCCAACGTCATCTACTGCTTTCCAAGGCTTCTCGCTAATCACCAAGCCACTTAATGAAAGCAAGAGCAGCCGGCGGAGCCGCGGGGACTCCCGGCCGCGGTCACTCCGCGCCGGGCACGGTCCCCCAGGGCATCGCTCGGGTAATCCCGGCCGGCTCTGGCCGGAGCGTTTCTGCTCTGGGCGATACAACAGCAGCAGGGCTAAAGCCAAGCCTGGCTCTTTGCAGAAAAGAAGAGAAATATCCAGCAAGTGTAGCCTCTTCCAAAAGGAGGGAGCTATCTCGAGACTAACTGTTGATTTGTAAGGAAATCAGGGAGGAGGAGGGGAATGTTCACCTTCCTAACTACTTGACATAGGATTTAGCATCATTGCAAACTTCGCAGGGTTTTTGAACCTCAAGCCAGTCTCGGAAAGGGGCTGATTTTGCTCTGATTAAGGTGCCCCGGTGCTCACACATGCAGCGAGGGCAAAGCTGTAGTAACCCCGCTGTTAAAGGGCGACTCGAAATCTTGCACGTCTCCTGTAGCGCGACCCTATATCTGTAACCTACGCTGTGCTTTGCACACTCAGCATAACCTATATAACGGTACCAGGAGGAGCTCCTTTTTCTCAGCCCCTGTCTTTTTGCGATCCTGCCTTCAGCTCTGCATGCGGTAAAGTCTTATCGCGCCCATAACTCATTCAAAACAGTTTAAAAGTTAATATCTAGCACAAATGTTTATGCACGTTTATATGCAGAAGAGATAAGTGCCTTATTTATACGCTTCTCGGTGTGTTTGTGCTATGTAGATACACACAATTCATCATTTCATCCATACTATTCTAGTTTTGGTTTTTGGAGAAGGTCCAACTTCTCTCAGCATAAACACGCACATATCCTGGTCATATTATTGGCACTAAATTTACCTTTTCAATACAGTAACAATAAATCAAAGAAACACGCAGACCACCAAAATGGTATTATATGACATAAAACCAGGTTAAACTTTTGTCTCCCCTTTCCTCTTTCCTTCCTTAGAATTAAACATATATATATATAAAAAATTTCTTTATTATTTTTCCTCACTGAGCGTCCTGTAGC